CTCCAGCGGTGATTTAAAGGGCCCGGGCTCCCCGCAGCAGCCGGAGCCCTGGACCCTTTAAAGTGCTGCACGAGCCCCGCTGCTACCACGCTATACGCGAACCCGTGTTATATCGGGTCGCGTTATAGCGGGGTAGAGGTGTAGTTTAACTGAGTATGGCCCAGATCCAGGAAAACATTTAAGCATATGCTTAACTTTAAGCACACAAGTAATCCTTCAGTAAGACTGCTCATATTAAAAGCAGGTATATGCGTTCCCAGACCAGCACCAGCTTTTCCATATCAGTGGTCACACATGGTTTTTCTCATTATGACTGTACAGCTGGAAAGATTCTGAATTGGATAAGAGAAAACAAATCTTGCAAATCTGAGTTTTAATTAATTTCACTCTAAGGTACTGTAAAGTGTTTTCCCTTTACTTCTTTAGTAGCTTTGGGTCCAGTCCTGTAAACTGTACTCACATTGAGGCCAATAGTAAGCACTACTCAATGGGACTGGTCATGTGAGCAAGCGCTATGCAGTGTGAGGAAGGGTTGCAGAATTAGGCTCTTAGTTATGTTGAGTCCTGCATCCCATGTTTCACAGAGGGGAATAGAGAACAACATGGATTATGGGCTTACATTTTCCTGGATACCAGCTGTATTGATGGTAGATGGTCTGCCAGTCTGACCTGGAGGAACATGCCGTCCTGACCCCAAATATGGCAGTCAGATAGGGAGCATGTCGGTGAGACCCACCAGCCAGACCTGAATATTTTTAGTGATGGAGCCTCTGTTTCTGCCTTTGCATTACTTCTAACCACTCTAAACAGACACTGTGTATAGGAAGCCTTGACAAAGCTAAGTTATGCATTCCCCACATGGTCTTTCCAAACCTGACTCCTGTCACTCCATGGAGCCAAATGTCACTATTTCTATTGAAAAAGAGCCCTTCAAACCCACAAAGGAGGAGACAAGATTTCCCCTTAATTTTGACCTGTATATCTGATGATACACCTGACATGCAGATCTTGCAAGTACTGTACATATTTAAAGGGACACAGAGAGTCCTAAAATTTGATCCTCTGTTGTTTTTTTAATCTGTCCCACTTTGTGTTGTGGATGTTTTTTTAGCATCACCATTCTATAACAAGAACTGCAACCATTTCACCATTTCATAATCTCAGCTCTTCAGTGAGACAAGCCAACAAATAATGCTGTTTGCTGCTGTGCATAAGCACGCATACAGCACAAGCATACAATGTACAGGTTGCTCCATCCTTCCCTATCCTTGTCATCTATGTTCTTGCAAACAAACTGATAATAGATTCAAGTTGATGAGACTCCTGCTCTCTAAAGAACAGGAAACTTTTGAATTGCAATCTCTGCCTAGCCATGTTCTTGTGAGCTCATAAGAATAAAATAATACACACAGTGGAAAACAATATGATGTATGAGTTATCACATCACAAACAAACTCCTGGCCCAAAAAACTGTGTCTCTTTGGTTAGTCATTTTTGCATTGTACCCCTCCAAAACGCAGGAATTTTAAGAGAGTTATTTGGATACGTTAACTAGTGAGTCAGTTAGTGGGTATTTAAAACAAACGCACACAAAAACTGTTCTCCAGACATTCCATCTTCTCATACTAGATTTCTAAAATTCTTCCAAAATTTGTAACCTACTGTTGTTCTCTACAAGAGTTAAACTGATGAATTGCAGTTCCTCTGGAGCAAATATAGGATACCAAACTGAAAAAAATATGGTGAAATATCAGTAAATACCCACAGGTCTCACAAAGAAACTTATCCAGCAAGTGTTTATCTTTAGGACATGCTGGACATCTGGAAGAGCAATAGCAATTAATGAACGTATTATACAACAAAAATAGAAATATGGCTGAAATATTGATATCCTGGAATAATACACTGGGGTGAATGCGTTTTCTTAGAAAAAATTACCGTATTTACATTTTAAAAAATAGACTGCAGTAAGATATTTGTCTTTGCAGTAATATGATTCGAACAGGAACATGAATTGACATTTATATTGATTCACATGTGTGAATACAGCGGTATTATTATTTTTCATGATCTAATGACTCCTTCCAACCACTGCCCTGTAATAAAAATAAATTCAAAACTGAACAAACTGATGCAGGCCTTGTTTGAATGGCTGATCTAAAGAGAGAGAGATTCTGTCACTGAATTTTGTTCCTGCTTCTGCAAAACGCACAGTGCTTTTGACCAGCAGGTGCTGAGGTTGCTGGGCACCTTGCATGGTGATTCTTGGTGTGGCTTATTTTATTTGAAAATGAGTAATTTTTTCCCAGGGTAACAGATTGTACCTATATTTTAGAAAGAGGGAAAAACATGATCCGGGCAATTACAGATCTGTTAGTCTGACCTCAGTAGTATGCAAGGTTTTAGCACAAATTGTGAAGGAAAGAATAATTAAATTCATAGAGGTAAAGGGGATGTAATGTAATATGGATTTACCAAAGGTAGATCATAACAGCCTAACATGCTTTTCTTCTTTGAGAAAATAACAGATTTTGGAGATAAGGGAAGTACAGTAGATCTAATACACTTGGACTTCAGTAAAGCATCTGCTATGGAACCACATGGGAAATTATTGGTTAAATTAGGGAAGATGTGGATCAGTACATGCATTGTAAGATGGATAAGGAATTGGCTGAAGGGGAGAAGGCAATGGGTTGGACTGAAAGCTGAATTATCAGACTTGAGGAGGTTACTAGTGGAGTTCCTCAAGGATCGGTCTTGGAACCAATCTTAGTCAACATTTTTGTTAATGACCTTGGGACAAAAAGTAGGAGTGTGCTAAAGAAATTTCCTGATGATAACAAGTTGGGAGACATCATCGATACGGAGGAGGATTGGATGACCTTGAAGACTGGAGTAATAGGAATGGGATAAAATTCAATAGTACCAAGTGCAAAGTCATGCTCTTAGAGATAACCATAAGAATTTCTGCTACAAACTGGGGGATCATCAGTTGGAAGTGACAGAGGAGGAGAGAGACCTGGGTGTGTGTCTTGATCACAGGATGACTATGAGCCACCAATGTGATGCGGCTGTGAAAAAAGGCAAAAGTGATCTTGGGAGGTATCAGGCAAGGCATTTCCAGTAAAAATAAAGAATTAATTCCATTGTACAAGGCACTGGGAAGACCTCATCTGGAATATTGTGTACGATTCTGGTCACGTGTGTTCAGGAAAGATTAATTTAAATCGTAACAAATTCAAAGAAGAGCTACTAGGATGATGAGGGGAATGGAGTGTCTATTTTATGAGTGGAGATGGAAGAGCTTAGCTTGCTTAATCTAGCAAAAAGAAGGCTGACCAAGAATATGATTGCTGTCTGTAAATACCTTATGGGAAGTAAATACCAGGGAGCGTGAAGAGCTATTTAAGCTAACCGATAATGTTGGCACAAGAACAAATGGATGTAAACTAGCCATGAACAAATTCAAGGTAGAAATTAGAAGGTTTCTAACCATCACAGAGGTGAGGTTCTGGAACAGCCTCCCAAAAGCAGTTGTGGAGCAAACTACTTAACTGGTTTTAAGAAAGAGCTGGACAGAGTTATGGGTATGATTGTATGACAGGATTACTTGTGATGGTAAGGGATAGTACTCAACAGTCCAGGGGCTCACTTCCAGTTTCTGCCTTATATTCCTAAAGCTCATGCCACAAGGTTTCAGCTGGCCACTGGCAGGGGTTAGGAGGGTTCCTCTCCTCCCCCCCCATCCCCGAATGTATTCGGTGAGGTTTTTTCAATTTCCTTCCTTTGAGGCATCAGGGATGGCCATGGCTGGATATTGGGGATGGGTGGGCCAGGGCTGTGAGCATTCTCTCTGTGTCTCAGATGCTTGACTGGCTGGTTCTGGCTCACATGCTCAGGGTCTAACTGCATGCTGTGTGGGGGTTGAGAAGGAATTTCCCCCCAGGACAGATTGTAGTTTTTTGCATTTCTCTGCAGCATGTGGATGCAGGTCACTTGCCAGAATTGTTTGATTATGTCTCACTTAATCATTTGGATGTAGAATCATAGAATATCAGAGTTAGAAGGGACCTCAGGAGGTCCATCTAGTCCAACCCCCTTCTCAAAGCAGGACCAATTCCCAATTTAATCCCCATATCCCTAAATGACCCCCTCAA